GGGTCACGAGGACACATGTTGGACTTGTTGGCAGATGACAGATGGGACATTGGCAGACAATTCGGACACGATGGACTTTATGGATAAGACATTTTATCCACTAGACAACCCGCATCCGCTACCGAGGCCCGTTCCCCACGACGTTCAGTTTGTGTCCAGAGCCAGCTCGAGGCCCTCTCAGAACCATCGCCAGTTTGTTTGATTGTTCTCGTTTGCGTAAAGTTCGACCTTTGCGCCTCGTAAGATTCCTAGATTAAACAAAAGGGCCTAAGAAGACCACACTACTTATGAATTGTTTATAATCACTGGTGACGGCTACACGAGCCAGGTGTCACATGCAGTCCTATGCGGGTAGGAAGGTGTTAGTTATTAAATGGTATTACATTTAACTGCACCTCAGGATATGATAATAATAATAGTTAATAATATTGTTATGGGAGCCGCCATGGTATAGCGGCTAAACGCTCGCCTGCGTATCTGAAAGTCGTAGGTTCAAATTCGCATGGTGTCGGATTTGTTTTTCCAAGTATGATTCTGGCTACCAAGTCGGGTACCAGATAATGTCGTCGGGAGTAAAGACGACCGGCGTGATGTACACCACATCACGCATCGAGGTGTATGAAAGTATGAGTCTAGCCTCATGTGACCGATGATCAAGGGCCATATAAAGGGACCTTTACTTTCCTATTGCCACTCTATGCTATCCTCCAAATAACGGTCCCAAGTTATCGAGGCCGAAAATAGACCCTAACAGGGCCACAATCACGTGTAAATTGCGGACCTCTTCCGGCGACTACACAGCATACTGCGAAAAAGCTACCGCCGAGTTAAAGTCACTGCCGAGAGTATCTCCCGAGCCGCGGATCGGAGATAAACTAGATGACTGGGACTCACTTGCAGCAGCTACCGCATCTCATGCAGCTTCCTCCATCCTATTTGCTTGTGAGTCCCAGCCGTCTACTAGGCGCGGCAAGTGAGATACTCTCGGTGGTATGCTGTGTAGTCGCCGGAAGAGGTCCGCAGTTTACATGTGACTAAGGCCCTGTAAGGGTATATATTCGGCCTCCACAATTTGGGACTATTATTGGGAGGATAGCCACTACTCTATAATTACTTCATTATTATTATTATTATTATTATTATTATTATTATTATTATTATTATTATTATTATTATTATTATTATTTTAGTATTATTATTATTATTATGTGCAAAACAAGGCTCAAACAGTCTGAGATCCCACTCCTAAACAAGTTTTAAGAGAAAACTCCCCCCCCCCCCCCCCCCCCCCCCCCCCCCCCCCCCAGCAACCCCAGTTTCCCCCACCCCCCAGCTCGAAGACCATCCTATCACCAAAAAAGGAGCAATCATGAGGTTTTTGAATAAGGCGGGCGGCCCGAAGACATCTTATCACTGGGAAACATCAAAAGGAGAAACGTCATTAATTCTCTAGCGCTGTTATGATTTTGAAGGGGCGGCTGAAAATAGACCATGTTGTGACACTGGGAAGATCAGGTGGAAGGAGGGATTGAGTTATGAAAGGGGACATGATGTCAGACATGATGATGATGATGCTAAATGATTAAAATCAATGACGCAGATTTTATACAGTCTATAGTCTTGTAGCATGGCATGGAGGTGTGTTGGCACATGAACTGATACATGCTGCAGGAGATCGCAGATTGTGAAGAGGCATGATCGCCCACGCCAGTCGGCAAGGCACTTGATGATGATGATGATGATGATGATGATGATGATGATGATGATGATGATGCTATAATGATTAAAATACGCAATTCTGACGGCACCAAAACACCACAGGGTCTAATGAATACATGTTTTCCTATCGTGTCATTTTCTGGGAGTTTTTGTCTTCCGCGACCTTAGCTCTAATTTTTCACTGCAGTGTGGAGACATTTAACCTCTTAACACACGCATGGCTGGTCATGTAGTTTTAGCCGGGATCGTACACTTTTGGGTAGATAAACTTTCTACTCTAGGATTATTGTGATACTCGCTTCACTTACATGTGGTGAGGGGAGATAGGAGAGGTGCCTTGTGGCTCACTACACTCTCTTGTCTCCGTAGGGCTCATTTTCGTTTACAAGTTGCTCTCTCTCTCTCTCTCTCTCACTGTCTGTCTGTCTGTCTCTCTCTCTCTCTCTCTCTCTCTCTCTCTCTCTCTCTCTCTCTCTCTCTCTCTCTCTCTCTCCACCCACCCCATCACAGTTTCCAATAGCTAAAATTTATTTCGTAAGGTTATATTCCTAATAACGCGCGTTTTATTCTCAGGCTCAAAGCCTCTTTATATTTATATATTTATGTCGCAGCGTATTCAATCAAATATCCCTTTATACAAAATAGATCTCACACATCGATCCCTAAACGAAGGGCCTCACTTTATTGCAAGCCATTCTTCTTTACGATGGTGATAATGATTAGAATATGCAATAAAGACCGCACCAAAACACCACAGGATCTAATCTATACATGTTTTTCTATCATGTCTTTTTCTGGGAGTTTGTCTCTCGTGACCTCAGCTCTAATTTTCAATGTAGTGTGGAAACATTTATCTTCTTACATACGCATGGCGGGACAGGTCGTTTATGCTGGGGTCGTACACTTTTGGAGGGATTAGCACTCTGCTTCAGGAATATTGGGATGCTCTCTTTACTTATATGTGGTGATCCAAGACAGAGACAAAGTGCAGACTGGCTCACGATAAACTCACTCTCTCTGATTATCTGTCTCCCTGTTTTCTCGTTCTTGTTTAATACATCTTAATTTAATGTCGCTGTCTCCATTCCATTCCATCCTTCTGCTTGCCAATTTATACATCTGTCCATATATATATATATATATATATATATATATATATATATATATATATATATAGCCTATATATATATATAGATATTATGCATGAGTTGAAAACTGTTGTTTGTTTGTTTGTTTTAGTTTCCATAAGCGATGAGTTGTCAACCCTTTGGCTCAGTATTATAGATATATCGCAACCCTTTGGCCTTGATTCCATTGTAAATACCGTAAATCTGGAAGAAATGTGGCTATTCTGCCTACCCACGGGAGTGAATCCGGACCACAAGGAGTTCGTCACCCGGTCACCGCGCAATCTGGTTTAGCCAACTACGCTAGAGAGCCGGGCAGAATAACTGTTAAGGTTGTTTGCGTCTGTGTGTGCATGAGTATGAATCTGCATGTACGATACAAAGCATGTGTGTGTATATATATATACATATAGATATAAATGTGTGAGTGTGTCTGTACAGGCGTGATGTATTATAGCATCTATTGTATGTGTCTATGTTTGTGTATGTGTGCACGTATGTTGACATAGGCAAATGTATGAGTATGTATGCAGTAATATGTAGGTATGTGTATGCATGCACGTATGTATGTTTTATGTATGTGCATATATATATATATATATATATATATATATATATATATATATATATATATATATATATATATATACAGAGGAAAACTAGAGAGAATACTTTGATAACCTAAAGACTGAAGGGAAAGAGAGGCAGCGGGAGAATAGTAGGCAAGATACTGGACAGTTTGACACCATCTCATGGAAACTTTTCTGTGTCTGTAAAAACTGAAAGTAAAGAGGCAGAATTTTGTGAAAAGACTTACACCGTACATCAGTTAAACAAGTAAAAAAAAAAAAAAATACCTCTTTCACATCTCTTGGCGCTCTGGGTGTAAAGTTCTATATCTATATGTATATTTTTTATAAACCAATTGGCACCGGATAAATTATATGGTCAACATTTCTCCAACCGCCTTTACTCTTCTGTTACTTCTGGGGCAAGATGACAGCCGACACTGTTGTGTTTTCTAACTGCCACTTTTTATACATGAAGCTAATGGAACTCGTGCATTGTTTTATAGTTAGTGGGATGCAACAGTAACAAAAAAACTCCATCCCCCACCCTCCCCTTTTTTTCCAGGATTTTCGCCAGTGCTACGGAGTTTCATGCACCTGAGGTGAAACTCTACTAAAAATTTACCATGAACAGTGCGGCGGATTTGACCTATCTGCTGTCATCATGGCGGGTGTTATCGGTCGCCGCGGGCTGAGGGATATACTGACGATGGGATCAGAGCGTTTATGGACTTGCTGGATGTGCAGTGAGGATAATCTCTCAATCAACTAACTGATTGACTGACTAACATACTTGCTAACTAACTAACTAACATGCTGACTGACTGACTGACTGACTGATTGACTAACTCACTAACTGACTGACTGACTAACTAACTGACTAACTAAACGACTGACTAACTGACTAACTTACAAACTAACTGTCTGACTAATTGACTGACTGAATGACTGACTAACTAACTAAATGACTGACTGACTGATTGACTGAATAACTAATTAACTAACTGATTGATTGACTGACTAACTAGCTAGCTAGCTAACTAACTAACTAACTCTTAGGGTATTACTGAGCTCTCATTTTAGGATGGATCGACATACGAGCCAATATCAGTTGCCAAAAGAAAATCCGACTGGATGTGGCTTTTAAAATTAGACATTCATACCAGTAAGGAAGTGGCTAGCCACTTTGCTACCACAGCTCACAGCGTCAAACAGAATATACTGTACGAAGTTGCTCGCTTCAGAGGTGGTGGAAATCAAAAAGACCCCTTTCCGCACCCTTAGAACTATTAGGTATATGTGCTATACCTCTAATTTATACTTCAAATGGCACTCGGCAGGTGATGTTGTCGACATCACGCCGGCCGCTTTGACTTCTCAGGATTTCAGGTGGTACACATTGTAGTCTGCGTTGACTTGAGAGTTATGATTTTTGTTTCGAAAAACTTCCAGATTCAAGTGGATTTGAACCGACGATCTATGGACCGCAGGCCAGAGTGTTAGAAATCACGCTCTGTTTAACATTAGGTAAAAAAAAAAAAATATTGCAACACAGCAAAGGACAACAACATACAAGACCACTCACTTGATAGTTGGACCTCTCCTCTTGTATCTGCGACCACAATTTCTTGACCTCCTCGAAGCTCTCCAAACTGGTGATGGAGTACACCAGAACAAAGGCATGTGCGGTGGAGATGGAAAGGCGTCTCATAGCCGGGAAAGTCAAATTCCCAGCTGTGTCCAAGAAATCTACTTTGATGAGAGATCCCCGGACATTGTAATCCCGAACATAGAGATCTTCTACCGTTTCCTTGTAGTCTTCAGAAAACGTGTTGAACAGAAACCGTTTCAGAATGGCGGTTTTTCCAACACGACCGGCACCAAGAAAGACCACCCGGTTCCTCTGGTCTGTGTCCGCCATACTGAAATAACACGCCTCCCGGTGTTTAGTCTGTTCTATACACGATATGGAAAACAGGGTGGATTATTTCACTGTACTCCTAGTATAATTCAGAAATAAGGGAGGATGCCCTGAATCATCCTGAAACATGCAGGAAATGAATAAATGTAAAACTTTCTCAATTACATGACAATGTTATGAACTGTTACAAATTATTTAAAGTCTTCAATATTAAATATCCACGTCCTGTCTTACTGATGATGTTCAATTTTTTATATGCAGGGTATTGGAAATAGTGTAGATTATTTTACTATATTCCGATTATAATTCAGAAACAAGGATACAATCAGCATGTTTACAGTAAAATATTTGGCGTGAACTCCACAAAACATCACATTGCACGCTTTTTAATGATAATCCGTGGTAAAAACTAAGGCGCGCTTACTTTGTTTAGTAAAGGGGATGTTTCATGTACTGTCATAATGGTTATCTACTAGTTCATTCGATTTGTGTCAGTTACTGTACATTTTTTTAGGTGTACACAAATTATTAGTACGACAAAGATAAAAAAAATCGCTGCAGTAATTTGAAACAGTGCAAGTTTAAATTACGGAATCGTAACGACATGGGAAATTCAAGACCACATGCAGTTTTCGAGATATTTGCTCAAGCTTGAGACACGATTTTTGGAAGTGGCTATAGTTTAATTAGGAAATAATCCACTTGAAAACTGTTGTTAACATCAAATCACACTGTTTTCAATGATACAAACACAATTTCAAGTGTTTTAAAGTACTTAACAGTCTAATACTGATCAATGCTTTAAGATTTAATATATTCTGCTTTTTTTCGGAGCACGTTCTATGCAAGCGTCTATGTAATTTGCCTGACTAAATTTACTCTGCCGTCTATGCAAGCATTTTTAGTGTTTATCAGTCTATGTAGAATAATGTGGGAAAAAATGTAATATGCGCCAGTGGTGTTATATTTAATAAGAACAGTTTTTTCTTTTTCTTTTTGGGATGACATTAGACTGACAGTGTCAAATATGGATTCTACAATTAATGAGGGAAAAAACACAACACAATGAGATGTATGTGAAGAGTTGTCAAAGTAACATGCCGAGATAAACCTAAAAGAGAACAGTAAATAGAAGAAGAAAGGAATTGTCATACAATTATCTGACAAACGAATAATGAACTGGTCTTGCCTTCTTCTCCAATGACCTGACACCGCCACACAGCCTTGCCACAGAAAGCCACTTTGCAGGAATGTAATGAACACAGAATAGATGGAAGACCTTACAAAAACTAACTTCTGTGATACATTGAATTCGGAATACATGCGATCCTTTTAACTTCTATAGTCCGTTCCATGGCGGGGGAGAGGGGGGTGCGTGGTATCAAAGCATGATGTCCGCCTCTACTGCTTTAGGTGCCGGATTAAATTCCCGGCAAGTAAAGGGATTTTTCCACGTGGACTTGGACTTCTAGTAATTCCCCCAAATCTCTGGGTAGTAAGATCGGACGCCGGTGTGCATTGTTGTGCAGGTAAAAAAAAAAAAAACCTGCTGCTGCCGGGGTTAAAAATCTACTCAAAGTATTTCATAATTCTTCACCGTGCTATAGAGCCTGTGCACTGTGCTGAGCTTCTTCGGACTTAGAATTGAGACAGAAGAAGAACAGAGCACTTATGGGTTAAACCTGTGTGTCATTATGTTGATCCGTTGTTCAAACTTCTAACTTCAAATCTAGTCCGTTCCAGAAGTCCTGCTCAACTTTAAAAATATGTAACTCAAAATAAGTTAGGCGTCAGTTGTTTACATTTAGCATGCAGTATGTCAATAATCATGTTCATGTCAGTATTTTTTTTTTACATTTAGACACACATCTAGTTTTTCATTCTGAATAATTTAATTTTTAAAAAAAGGGGGGGGGGGGATATCGATTGAGAGCAAAAACATCAGCATGCTTACAGTAACTTGAAAAAACTGAGTAAGGCGTATTTTACAGAACATCAAATTGCACGCGGATCGTCGGTGTTTTCTCGTTAAATGATCATCTCTTCATAATAGGTCCCGGAACCCATACTACTACTACTACTGCCAGTGATACTGCTGCTGCTGCTACTACTACTACCAATACTATTGCCGCAACAAACTATTACCACTACGCGACACACTGGAACTATTAAAGCTTTTGGTTTAAGCTGATACACTCACTTATTAGCTGTATAGCCCTTTTTAAAATTTCGACTTTTGTTGTAAAGTTATTTGGTTGATGTTTTAACTTTGACAGTACGGAGGCTTTGAAGCACAAAATTGAAAATCACACATGCACAAAAAGAATACACACAATAAAAAATCCTACAGAGGTATAGGATGAGCTTGGGTGCGGGTGGCGGGCCACACCAGGTGCAATACATAAGAAGAAGGGGAGGGGGTAGGTAAAAAACAAAAATATGTGTTTCTAACATTTAGAAATGTGCCTGAGCGTGTTTGCGTGTGTATAAATGGAGAAGGAGGAGCTGGACAAAACATGTTCTGCACCGGCTACCACCTGAATCGGCAATGACACAAGGGGTTACAAAAATTTTCCACACCTAATACCACCTGAGCTTGAAACGCCAGTTCAGTCCTGTTTTGTTTGAAATTAATAAAGATCTATTTGTTGTTACCACTTATAAAGCCACACTTATTTTCATAATCACATCCAACCTTTTTTGCCGGCAAAAAGCTAAAGAAAAACATAAATTATACTTGCAATGTTGTCTAATCGTTGTTGTTCACAGCACTTGTCGCAGTTTTGCTTCTCCAATTCATTATTGTATGATCATCCGCGTTACTTTCTATCCAGCATAGTCCATTTCTAAATGTCCATTTTGTAAATCTAATTAACTTCCATTACACGTCTGCGATCCATGACACAAGGTCGATGTGTTCTAGATTAGAAAAAAAAGGGGAAAAAATCGATTAGTTGAAACAATCAAGATTTTTTTGTAGTAGATTGTATTAGATAATTATTGAAATGATTGTGTTAATGGAAGTTGGCCTAAGTTAACATTGTATTGTCAGCAGCAGTGTTATCATCGTCATTTTTTTGGTGAAGTTATGTGTCACCTAGGAGCCGAATGCTTATTCGTCATTTCATTCAAACGTTATCACCAGAAAAGGTTGTCTGTCTGTTTGTCTGTCTGTCTGTCTGTCTGTCTGTCTGTCTGTCTGTCTGTCTGTCTGTCTGTCTGTCTGTCTGTCTGTCTGTCTGTCTGTCTGTCTGTCTGTCTGTCTGTCTGTCTGTCTGTCTGTCTGTCTGTCTGTCTGTCTGTCTGTCTGTCTGTCTGTCTGTCTGTCTGTCTGTCTGTCTGTCTGTCTGTCTGTCTGTCTGTCTGTCTGTCTGTCTGTCTGTCTGTCTGTCTGTCTGTCTGTCTGTCTGTCTGTCTGTCTGTCTGTACGTGTGTCTGTGTGAAAAGACAGGGTAGGGATTCAAAAAAACTAAAAATTGCATCCCACAAGGTTATGACGAGATTATAAGAAGAAGTTGTTGCTGGTTTTGTTTTAAACTGGGAGGATTTGGGAAAATTACTTTTCCGGCACAAACAAGAAAATTATCTTAGGTATTAGAGAGAAGTCAAAACACCACCCCCTTTTTTCGGTCTCTGCCTATCTTAGAAGAACGGCTAGCCGCCTGTCGAGAGTTCCGCACAGAGCACGAACTCTGTAGCTCCGGAGAGATCCTTAGAAATCTCAGTAAAAACAGCACTCATGAATTGAACGGTGCAGCTGTGACACGATCCCACGACCTTTGAAGACCGAGGCCAAGGCTTGACTATTTGGACGCGGTGACCCCTAACTTCAGGAAGCAAATGGAAGCCAAAGCAGAATCCAGTCCTGCAACTTTGGCCTCTGTCATCCACGTTTGTCTTAGAGTTTTTTTTTTTTTTTTTTGGCGTCCTCGCCGACTTATTCTCTTTGGTTTCTTTTGTAATGCCTGTTTGGTGATTTTCTACTGCTTTCTAACCGGAATGTGTCCAATGTAGCGCCATCTACTCTGTCTTAAAACTGTTTATACTAGTGGCTGTCCCTTAATTTTCCATTGCTTTTAGATTCATCCTCTTTTATTTCCATCCTGTTCCTCAGACTTCTGTTTCAAATGCATTTAGATTTCTTTTCATGTCTTTAGTGGTTCTCCAACTTTCACTTCCATGTGTTAAAACTAAAATAACCTTAGAACTGAATATACATAACTTGGTCATAAAACTATACAGTTTAGAGTTCCATATTTTGTTCAAGCTATTAAAAATTGCTGATGCCTTGCCGACGTGTGTCACAATTTCTTTCGTTGTATTTCCTTCACTATAAAAAATAAAATTGACTAAATAAGTGAACTGATATGTTACTTCAATTACTTTTATCAAAGGTGTTACTGTAAAAACGACATGCCGTGTTCTTATTTCAACAGAAAGAGGTAATGGCTACTGCAGTATGCGGATCCTTCAATTAGTTTCTTCTCAGACACAGAATATTTCTTTACAGAATAAACATAACATGTGTAGGGATCTTATTTTTTAATTGACGCCAAACAAAGGAAATCCCAAAGTTTCCGAGAAAGTTCAATATTCTAGATGTGTTATAGGCTGGGTTTATAGTTGGCGTTTAGATCTCAGAGTCTAAGCCTAACTCTAACCTCAACCCTTAATTCCCCTAGCATATTGGACTTTTCCTAAACTCTGGGATTTGCTTTGTTAAGGGTGAATTCAAAATTAGTTACCCATTTGTCTTATGTCTGAACGTGTAGCCAGGCAAAATTAATCAACTATCAACCCATTATGTTACATTGTAGAGATGAAAACCTGACCGTTTTGGCGGGCTAGTTATTGGCAGGAAATGTGAACATTAGGACATAACTAAAAATGAGAGACAGGAGAAACAGCGTCCTTAACAGCTAGAATATAAAACTGATTTCACATGGTTGTTATCTAACAGGACACGCTCTTTATTCGAGGAGTGGGTGATCGCCCACCAA